TAGTATTATATAAAATTTTATACCTGTGGTTCACAAATTTACCAAGCTCTATCAACACGTGTACTATTAGTGAGCTATAATATGCAGCTTTTTCACCAGCAACAGCGTAATATTCTTGCTAAAAATTATTTGATAAACAACTAATATTAAATGCTTGATTACATTATATTAGATTAGTTTTATATATTTACCTCGTCATGCACATTAAATGTATTTTCATATCTAGGTAATGGCATGTCCACGATTTTAAGATCAGAAGTATGCTTATAATTGCAGTCAATATAAGTCATGTTAACATTTTGCACGTATTTATGCCAATAACCAAAATGATGGGATAAATGTACTCATAAATATGACCATACTTTAGCATTAAACCCCTCAGTGTCATTTTGCAATATGTTTTAAATATATCCTTATTATATATTTAAAACATTTCTTTATTTTATAAATTATTAAAAATACATGCACCTGTAACCTAACGTAGTTTAACACTTATCATAACTGAATTATGCATTCAATGAATAAATTAATTATAAGCATAGAACCTTGGTTATAGCCTGTTTGACATTTCAATAACAAATACAATAAAACAAAATACAAAACAATAGCCAATGATTCAAATGTGCCATAAGATAGGGCTTCATATACGGAGATGGGATCGATGTACAAATCATGCAGATGTCTGTCCCCAATAATACCACTATGTCCACTATTATCAATGCAACACGTTATGATTTATGCAGCGAATACAATCAATTATCAAACTATAAAAATATATATAACCGTAGTTTAGCTTTGTATGATATTTCTTGGTTACATGATTAATAACAATTTCTATTAACAATACACACAAACACAATGCAAAACTATAGCTAATGAATATGATTAGTGATGCAAATATTTTATGTGATAAGGGCTCGTATACAGGGATTTGGACGTGTAATTCCGATAGCCGTTTGCCATTTAAAACACCGCTGTTTTCCAAAATATGTCGAAACATTTGCAAATAGTAATCGGCCGATAATTTTCTCGAGGTGTCGAAAAATGATGTCTCGAATAATCGCTGATAACTAGTGAATACCAAATAGAGTTTATATAATATTACTATTAAATTTTAAAACTTACATAATATAAGCTTGGTGCGTGTATTGAAAGTTAGGTTCGTAACATAGAGTTGTCAAATAAATGGGCAAATCTGGTCGCCCTATGTGGTAGGGTATTATAGGATTCAAAAGTGCTTTCATTGTTTCCATAAACATTTCACTGGTGATAAAAACAATGTTCATAACCGACTCATAAACATCACCCTCAGCCACCTTTGCCATAATTTTATTCATGAACTGACCAGCGTCCATTTGCCGTAATATTTGCATCATTTTCGTAAATTTTTGCCTAAATGTGGGCTCAAACCTGGTGTAATAACCTGGTTGATTAAAATCCTTATAAATAAAAGAGTCGGCAAAAACTGCTAGTCTCTCATCAAATAAGTCATCGATTGTGTCCACATTCATGACATCCCTGTTCACCATTTGTGCCGTTAAGTCATTTTTAATAATATACACCAATGGTATGACCGAAAACACCCACAATATGTATATATAATTATGAAATTTAAGATTATGACTTACAAGTAATAAAGGTTTCAAATATATCCAAATGTTATGACATAATAAATAATTTGTAATGTGTTTTAATTTTTGGTTAAAAATAGTGTCAATTGTTATCATAATTATAAATGCAATTAATAAACAAAACCAAACATTTAAATCAAATACTTTCCAAATATCCATAATNTTAAAAATAGTGTCAATTGTTATCATAATTATAAATGCAATTAATAAACAAAACCAAACTTTTAAATCAAATACTTTCCAAATATCCATAATTGGAGGGAAAGGCTTATAGACATTGAAACTAAGATAATTCATTGTGTAACCAAAATATAGGGGTTGTGCACAATTCAATGATTGTACTTGTGTGTGCCAAGTATAATCAATTAGACCTGTATCCAATACTGACACATGTCCCTGTCTGACCACATCGTATCTAGAAATGTTGTGCTCATGGCTATCCTCCCATACCGTACATTGAAATACAAATAGGTGTACACTAAAAGTTATATACAGTACTTGTTAAGTTAATTTTAAAAAAATAATAATTTTAATTTATTATTAATCAAAAATTGATAACAAAATAACCTGTAATTTATATTATTTCCTATGATTTGCAATACGGGGACTACATATGAATTCAAATATGCTGTCCTATCGTCTATATTTAGGAATTGATTCTGTAATAAAGTTTTAAAATATAAATAATATTATGATATAACATATGATAAGTTTATACGAAATAATGACAATCGAGTGTCTGTTAATCGAAGATTAAATATCGATAGTCTTAGGATTCATACACTAAAAAAGATTCACCATGGATTAATAGTCACTTCGATTGTCATTATTTTGTATAAACCTATGTCATAATTTATATGGAATATAATTTAGTGTATTTTAGCAAAATATAAATACCTGATCCTGAAATGTCATCAATTGAAAGCGATTTTCACGAATCGGTAATTCATGGGATTTGAGGTATGAATTGCAGTCAATATAAGACATATTCACGGATTCAATGAATTTATGCCACAATCCATATGAATGCGAGTCTATGTATTCAAATGGATTGCCCCATAAATAAAGCATATCTCTAAAAGTTGCCATTGTAAATACTTAATAAATTTAATTTATATGATATTATTTGAAGTTATTTAAAATATATAATTATAACTCTAAATATAATATATACGGTGAATTCACTTTAATAATTGATTATTTATCTATTATATTTGCTGTCAAAATAAAGCCACAATTTTTAAATGAGTTGTGAGTCGAAAGCTGTTTAAAAATAAATTTCTATACTTTGCACGTAAGCTATACACTTTACTTTATATTAAATTTTATTTTTCTTATAATTTTTAGTTAAAAGTTAATGTATAATTAGTATGTTAATTTTATTATATATTTAAACAAAACTTTTTAATTTTATAAATTATTAAAATGATTTACAATATTAAAATTATAATTTTTAAATAAAAATATTAGCTACGAGTATGAGGTACACTATTATACTGAAGTATGTTACCTAACTATTTAGGAAAACGAAATAAACAGGGTATTGATTTTTCACTTAATAAAACAACAACTGGCAAATAATATAAAATAAATATTAATGTTATTAACATATACATATCAATAATATTAATATTATTATTAAACATAAGATTTATTAAAAATAAATAGACATAACTTATTAAAGTTTCATAAATACACCCGAATAACACACAAAATGTAATTTAAATATCACCGTGGTAAGTATAAAGAATTAAAACTTTTATATTACATAACTTATGTAACATAAGATAGTTTAATACAACTTTTTCATATGTAAGTCTTAAAATGAAATATAGTTAAATGATAAAAGTCCGCCTGATACAACAAATATTGTTGAAATTATTAGCAAACAAAACATAAGAAAATTAACACTTTTTTACAAAACATAATATTATTCATTATTATACAGTATTACATAATTGATGTTCTCTTTACTATTGATTTAAGAAAAATCTTGTTTGAATTTAGGTATATTTTTTTTATTAAAATATTTATTAGCCCCCATATAAACACATTAATCAAGCATATTATCAAACATTCAATATCTTAACAATTTCTAAACAAAAATACATGATAATCAAATCATAGCACCATTTATACACCACTTCGCAGTATAACGAGTATAACATTGTATTACATTAAAACTGGGTCAATAATAATTATTATTCGTGAATAAGTTTACAATGTATTAAATGCACTAAAATATTAATGAATAGTAAATTAATATAAAACAAAATATCTATTGTGACATTAATTAAACTTAGTTCTCACGAACCTAGTTCATACAAAGTAATATTTTTTAAATAAAAAAAAGTTTTTTATATTTTTAATTAACAATTGAATGACAAAATATGCTTTTAATAGAATTTCTAGATTATAAATCAATATAATTATATATTATTACTAAATATTAAGCTAATTAATGTGATTATAAATTCATTATTTTAATTATCATTAGTACTTCATAGTCATTTTGTACTCCGAATAAGTTTCGGAATAACCTAGCTTATTGCACGTGAACACATACAGGTGCAAACTATATGTATGTATTGGGTAAACTAATTTAGATATGAAATTATACTTATTTCTGTTACTAGGGGTACCGGAAAACAACTTCCGATTTATGGTACCATTTATTAAATTAATTATTATAAAACTTCTACTTGGATTTATACATCAATTAATATATCATTTTGAAGAGTAAATATCTGGCTTTATCCTATATTTTTATTTTCCCAAAATTATTTCATTTAACTATGGTAATTTGCCATCAATTTTTGGTCACATTTTACATGTAATTAAATGGAAATTTTATATGATTTAACACAATTAAAATTCAATTATGTATTATAAAATAACCACTCATACCATTATAACGTTTTATAGCTTTTAATTAAGAATATTAAGTTGATCTTGTTTTTATATTGTGACCTTTGAACTCAATTATTGACCTTTAGAGATAATGACAAAAAACTATAGAAATTCCAATCACACCGGGGTAAACTACACATAATTTTATTAGGCATTGCTTTATGACTACAAAACAGTTTACAGATCAATTCTACCTAGTGTAGTTTAGAAATGGCGGTCATTTATATTTTTTCCGACATTTTCTGGTCAGTCCTAGTAAGTTTTTGATAGCAAATTACCATGGTTAAAGAAATAATTTTGGGAAAATAAAAATATAGGATAAAAGCCAGATATTTACTCTTCAAAATAATATATTAATTGATGTATAAATCCAAGTAGAAGTTTTATAATAATTAATTTAATAAATGGTACCATAAATCGGAAGTTGTTTTCCGGTACCCCTAGTATAATTAAATCAAATTAAACTTCTGTATAATAATAAAAATAGTATTTCAATATAAATACCTGCGATTAACCATTTTACCAAGCTCAATCAATACAGGAGCAATTAATGAACTAAAATAACCTGATTTCTCATCAATCTCATAGTAGTGTCTCTATTTAGTAAAATTAACACTATTTCTAAACGCAATTAATAATTTAATCAAATAAATTTATATTTACATTGGTCACTTCTGCTTTTAAGTCAAATGAATTAGTATATCTGGGTAACTGAGCATGGGGGTTTGTATAATTAATATTTAATTTATAATTGCAGTCAATATAAGTCATGTTAACATTCAACACGTATTTATGCCAATAACCAAAATGATGTGATGATATGGACTTGTACATATTACCAAATTGTTTCATTATATCATTCAATGACATCGCACCCATTTTGACACTATTTTATTTATTACAATTTTTATTTAAAACTAATTTTTATACACAATCTTACTTAACTGGTTACTAGATATAACAATAATTTCTAAAATAATTTATTACATGTATTAAAACTACTGTAATGTTGTAGTATAATATTAGCTTGTAAATTTTAAAAAACTTATTAATAACTTTTAGATAATTTATGTAAACCAATAACAAAGTCATTAGTTGTGAAATAAATAGAATAAGTAATTATGTTTTGTAATTAGTATTGATTAAAAGTTTCATAATAAAAATTTTTACTTATTTTTAATAAAGCAATTAAATATAACGTAATACAAAATTACTGGCAATTAAATGAAGAAAATATAATCAATATGTACTACAGTATACATGCATTATAAATATTTTAAACATTTTAGTATAACTAAAATATTTTAGTTACTTTATATTTATTAATTTTGTTTATATTTCGACAAATACAAAGTGATCGGAAACAAATTGAGAAATATGTACAAATTATAATAAAACAATTCATAGATTAAACCAATTACCCAAATACTGAGGGCATACATAATAAATTGAAACAGTGATAGCATTTCATTCAATGATAATTGAGTGCACGGGTCAGATATGTGGGCGTAATAGTTATATAAAGTACGATAGTTCAGTAAATTAAGATCATGATTCTCTATAATGTGCTTGTTCGTTTTAAAATAAGACTTCCTTTTCAATCGATACCAGTATTGCAAAAGCGATGACTCAAATAAACGCTGTGAACGAGACAATCGTAAAATTTATTATACACTATTATGTGACAATAAAACAGCCGGATATATTATTGGGTTAAAGTTATAATCCACAGTTAGTAATTAATATAGTATATAATAAATTGTAAAAATGTAAGCTAAATTTATATCTAATAGTATAATATTATAAATTAAATGTTTCAATCAATCACATGATATCACTTTCATTAACAAACTTAAAGTTGGGTCGAAAACAAAGTGGCATAAAAAATACGGGCAAATACTGTTCGCCCACATGTATGTCGGCAAACCTGGGCGAGTAGGGCAGTTTAATTTTTTGTAGCGCAATTCATTGATAATGAATAGCTAAATGACCAAAACAGTATAGCGTTAGTGTCTATATTTAGACAAAAATAAAGTGATCGGAAATACATAGAAAAATATTTAAGCATGGTAATAACATAATTCACAGATTACACAAATACCGAGACTATAGATTATGAATACGAATAGCGATTGCGTGTCATTGAGGTATATATCATTGTATCCGTCGGTAATATTAGCGTAAAAGTCGTGAATAGTTTGGTCTCTAAAGAATCCATTTACTATTATGTTTATGCTCATTTCAAAATAAAACTTAGATTTCAAATGATACCAGTATTGCAAAAGTATAAACTCGTATAAACGCTGAGCACTACTCATGAAATAATTAAATTTATGTATAAATAATTAATATATAATTAAACACAACATTCAATACTCACATAACATTAGACTGATTAATAAACTCAAAGGTGGGTCCAACACATAGGGGTGTTATAGGGACTGACAGGTACTGTTGACCCACATGTATGGCCATAAATCTGGGAATGTATGGCTCGATTACATCCATCGACATCTGGTCCAGAATCAACACTTTGTTACTGAAAAATGTACGCAATTTTTGCGGACTCTCAGAAACTTCTGAAAATACATCCATTAATTGTTTCATATCCCATGTCCTCAACCTAGTGGTGACCAGTTTCACAAAATTATCTCTGAATGAGTTGTTACCAAAGCCCTCATAAAATACCGGTTGCCTCCACTCGACTTGTTTGAAGTCATCGGTGTATACCTCATACCTGTCATCCAATAGGTCCTCAATAGTGTCGGCGTATATCTCGGGTCGGGTCACCATATTTGCCAACAAATCATTTTGTATTATATAAACCAATTGTGTGATACATATGAGCCAAATTAGATAGAAGTAGTTACGGTGACCCAGGTCCTCACCAATCATTAACAGGGGTTTAAAATATATCCATATAAACCCAAACAAAGTTGTACTGGTTCCTTTATTTATGAATTTGTTTGAATACATGTGTGTAATGAATAGTGCGATGAATGCTGTAATGATGGCAAACCAGACATATCGGTCGAAACCCTTATAGATGTCCAAAATTGGAGAATACCTCATACCTGTCATCCAATAGGTCCTCAATAGTGTCGGCGTATATCTCGGGTCGGGTCACCATATTTGCCAACAAATCATTTTGTATGACATAAACCAATTGCGTGATACATATGAGCCAAATTAGATAAAAATAATTACGGTGACCCAGGTCTTCGCCAATCATTAACAGGGGTTTAAAGTATATCCATACAAACCCAAACAAAGTTGTACTGGTACGTTTATTTGTGAATTTGTTTGAATACATGTGTGTAATGAATAGTACGATGAATGCTGTAATGATGGCAAACCAGACATATCGGTCGAAACCCTTATAAATGTCCAAAATTGGAGGCAAGTGTTCAACGTTTACGGGACTTATGATATTCAACTCGTTTGACATATAAAGTGGTCTTGAACATAAGTGAATACCACTATGTTGGGTTTCCCATAGATAATTCATTGGTGTAAAATCATAGCCAGTTATCTGTCCATCCATTATCAACCGTCTCCTAATCCAGCGTACGTTATCATCAATACATTTGAATACGTATAGGTGTACGCTATAAGAGTATTACAATTTTACATTTAATATTGTATTAGATTTTATACCTGTGGTTCACCAATTTACCAAGCTCTATCAACACGGGTACTATTAATGAGCTATGATATGCAGCATTTTCACCATCAACAGGGTAATATTCTCTCTAGAAATTATTTGACAAACAACTCATAGTAAATGACATGATTAGTAAATTGATATTTACACTCTTTTGAGTAGTCAGAACAGTAAATGTATTTTCGTATCTAGGTAATGGCAAGTCTACAAATTTTTGACCATCTGTATAACTGCAGGCAATATAAGTCATGTTAACATTTTCCACGTATTTAAGCCAATAACCAAAATTATGAGACTGTATGTACTCGTATATACCACCCATGTATAGCATGGCATCCCGGTGCGAGAATGAGATCCCCATTACAAAGTTTTGTAAAGTTATAAGTTGTCAATTAAATGTAGTTTTCTAAGTATTCAAGTGAGTGAGATATATAGTTTTATATTATGACATTATATGATATAGCTAAAATATTTAAATTTAATTTATACCCAATATCAACATTCTGGATAATTAAAAATCAATAATTTTACACATAATAAATGTCAAAATATTTCACATACATTAACATTAACAAAATTTTTGATCTATAGCAATTAGTAATCTTATAGACATTAGTAAGTGTGATCTTGGGGCCCATGTATGTTAATCTGAACGTTCAAAAACTTATGAAAGCCGTATTTATACCAGTATAACATTGTATTACAATAAAACTGGGTCAATAATAATTATTATTTGTGAATAAATATACAATGTATTAAATGCACTAAAATATTAATGAATATTAAATTAATATAAAACAAAAGATCTATTGTGACATTAATTAAACTTAGTTCATACAAAATACATATGTTTTAAATAAAAAAAGTTTTTTATAACGAAATTTATATTTTTAATTAACAATTGAATGACAAAATATGCTTTAAATAGAATTTCTAGATTATAAAGCAATATAATTCTTTATTATACACTAAATATTAAGCTAATTAATGTGATAATATATTCATTATTTTAATTATCATGAGTACTTTAGTACTAATATATTCTTATTAATTATATATGAGCAGCGGTCGAGGTCAATTAGAAAATATTGATGTCAGGTTAAGGTCGGAGCTCCAAATAGACCGACCTTGGTCACGATCTCAACAATATATTTTTATTAAAAATTATACTTTTTATCAAATTCCCTTCATGTTAATCAATGGCCAAGGTTAATAACACGAATCGTTAATAATTATTTCTATACTAGTACAGTTGTGACAGGGAGATTTATTTTGATTTTGCAATACTAACCGTAATCATTTTAAATAATAAATAATTATATTTAGGCATACCAGTATAATAATAATTTAACTAATAAAATAAGCTAAAACAGTACAGTGAACTACTGTACAAATATGGTATCAATGTCTGAATAAAACATTATGTCTATTAATAGGCATTATTTATTCGTTATCTATTAAAAGTAATTACAATTTAATAGAAAATTGATTAACATTATTTTTAAAAGTGCAATTTTTTAGCGATTTCAAAATAAAAATACATGATAATCAAATCATAGCACCATTTATACACCATTTCGCAGCAAATAACAATCAAACAAAAACTTAAACAATAGGTTATGAATAAAAATAATGAATTTATATGAAGTAGTGCTAGACTTTCGTATATATCAATAATAGTCATATCGGGGTAATTAAACTGATATTCACTAATTAACATATATTTCTTACATTGATAGTGATTTTCAGACCCTGCACATTTATTGTGTATAAAAATAAATTATTAATTTTATTGCAATTATTGCCTTATAAAAATACGCCCTATTTCTAGTGTTATGCAACACATTTTATATACCATAAGTATATTTATGACAACCGATTGAACCTGTTTTATGAATAAGTATTAATAAAATTATGCTTGCAGTAAATTTGATAATGAATATATGAAATTATCATTTATATGACATAACGCTAAATGCCAGTGGCTTAAAGTAAAGTAGATCCGTATGAACTCCAACACCAAATGGTGTTTCCGGTTATTATTATGGGATATTTTGTTTGAAAACTTGTTAATCACTAATAAATGAATATTAAAAGTCAGACATTGCTTCTCAAACCCTTCCAGATGTCGATAATCGGTGGCAAAGGCTTATAGAGTACGGAACTCATGAATATCATCATATTAGACATGTATAGGGGTTGGGAGCACTGGTAGTTTTTCTGTGTCTCCCAGTAGTAATTCATAGGCATGTTGTCAATTGCGGTCAACTGTCCATTCATTACCATTATATGACACGGTATGTGGTAATCAGGTGTATCGCATGTAAACACATACAGGTGCACACTAACACATTATAACAATTCCCTTATTGTTATATATAATACAATAATTAATGCTTTTAGAAACTAACATGTAAAATACATAAAAAAATTATATAATTGAAACAATATTATTTTTTAAATTGATTTTATTATATTAAACAAAATTAATTTTGATAAATATTACACGTTATAAATAGATCTAACATAAAAACACGCATTTGATTGATAATGAATAGATAAATGACCAATACAGTCTTATATTTAGTTAATGTCTATATTTAGACAAAAATAAAGTGATCGGAAATACATAGAAAAATATGTAAGCATGGTAATAACATAATTCACAGATTAAACCGATTACACAAATACAATATATTAGTACATGGTATTGTACTAATGTATTAGACATGGTATTAGACATTACACGTTATAAATAGATTTAACATAGAAACACACATTTGATTGATAATGAATAGATAAATGACCAATACAGTCTTATATTTAGTTAATGTCTATATTTAGACAAAAATAAAGTGATCGGAAATACATAGAAAAATATGTAAGCATGGTAATAACATAATTCACAGATTAAACCGATTACACAAATACCGAGACTATAGATTATGAATACGAATAGCGATTGCGTGTCATTGAGGTATATATCATTGTATCCGTCGGTAATATTAGCGTAAAAGTCATGAATAGTTTTTCCCCCGGAATGAATCCATTTACAATTATGTTTATGCTCATTTCAAAATAAAACTTTCCTTTCAAATGATACCAGTATTGCAAAAGTGATGTCTCGTATAAAAGCCATTGCGTGGTTGCCGAGATTAATGGATTTCAAATGATAAAAATTTCACAAATAAAGAATTTTTAAAATTAATAAAGCAAAATTTCTCAAAATCCAGAAATTAGTTTTTTCATATTGACCCTGTGCACAATTTCCAAAAATCAAAACTTACCTACATCTTATAGTTTTTGAGTTATTGATGGACAGGCATATCTATCGTTCCCCTTATGTCTGGATAAAAT